GTTCACTTTCACCAATGGTCTGCGTGACAGGAAAGGATGGGCCAGCATCAGTAGGCGTGATATCATCTGCGATCTCAAGCTGGGGGACGACATTTTCAGTATCTCTGTCCTCATCATCAGCAGAGGTCGGCGTATCAAAAGGGTTGGTCGACTTCGAGAGAGTATCAGTGGCGGACGAAGAGTCAATCGGAGGATCTTTTCGATGGATCACGGTATCTTTAGCGGAGACAGATGCTTCGAGCGGTGCTTCATCAGAATTGCGGTTGTCAGACGTGTTGGAACTTGTGCTAACTTCTGTGTCCACAGAAGGTGTAGTGGTGGTGTGGTTGGAATTAGGTGTCTCATCTTCATCGTCATCTCCAAAGGGATTTTTGCCTTTAGGATATTCCACTATGGCAATGTTTTGACAATTATCTTTGGCGTAGGTCACAGGCGGCTTTGGGCGAGGTGGAGGAACCTTTGAGCCGAGTGATACGGTTTGACAGAGCGATTCGGTAGTCATTGTGGGCAAACATGAAGAGGGAACAGGTGCTAGTCTTCTTTTACCTAGGTAACAAAAACAGAAAGCTGACGGACGAAAATCACAAACAGCCAAAAGCAACTGGTCAAGCACACGGATTTCACGTGAAGTACGTACCAACCTATCCAGAAAAGAACTTACGCATTTAAATCACGAACAAATGAAGTCTGTTGACTTTTGTCAGGCCAGAAATAAGCAGATCTTTGAAGGACTGGGCATCGACGTTGCCCTCAGTTTATAAGGCATAAACATGGCTGCTGGATTCTGCAAAACCTCCACATGCAGGAGAAAACGAAAAATTAATAACACACTGCGAATATTTTTTAATGTGTCGTTGATGTTTAAAAAAGTAGAGAACTCAAGTATAACTTCAATAAATTCGTCAAGAAATTATTGTAGTCCGTTTCCTTCAGTGTGCACTGTCTAAATTTTGAAGACTCGTCGCTACTATTAAGGCCAACAACAATTGACCAGAAACGTTGTTCTATCAAATGCAGGTTTGCAGGCAAATAGTGATACTAGATCAAGTTAATGTTACTTAAATGAGCTCCCACACTACTCTGAGTAGTTGCTGGCGTGGTTCGAAATAGAGCCCCAAGATAGAACGGCACGAGTAACGCGATAAGTGAGCACCTTACTACTATTGGCTGAGTTGGCAGCAATAAAATCCCCTTCACCTTGCGGACAAAGCCTATCACTTTGAGACCTACTACCAGCTCAGGGAATATTGGTTGTATTTGTAAAGTATAATCAATGTTTGAGGTTTTTTCAATGGAAGGCGCCAATTTAAACCAATTATTTTTACGTTCATTTTTTCCGGACTTGGCATATATTTTCTGTGGGTAGGTAACCTCGGTGTGGATCTCGGCTTTAAGTGATCGAGCAGGCAACTGTAAGGGCCTTTCACAGACCCAGGCAGTGCGGTGGTGCGTAAAGAGGATAAATATATACGCGGCCTCGCGAACTTAAGAAACTAACGTTTGTTACTATCATTTCCTTCGACGCGAGGCGCAATTTCTGTGTTCAACGTTGCACGACACGTCTTGGGAGCAAGTATGAACGGAAATGCTGTCTGATCCATAGGTCTTACCGATTTTGGCAGCATAAATCAGTACATGCTATCATGAAGCAAGCTGAGAGACCTCGGACTGCCTGAAATGTAGGCAACTTGGCTGGTCACATGAAAATGATAAAATACCAGTTTAGTGCGTCATTACTATGATAATAAAGTGCACCGCTCTAGTCAGCTAAAGTTAATATTCTTTCCCTATTGTCGCGTTGATGACCAGAACCGAAACAAGCAGTAAAGTGGTCATTCGGAGTTTTGTGGTCTACTCCGACTAGTTCGTTTCCTTACAAGAAGTCACGGACCATGAGGAGTCAGTTTTTTAAATGGTTCTTCAAGCCACCACTAACACGTCGACAGTGGACATCGGCTTATGCAACAGAAAGCCCAACGATATAAGTGTTCTTTCAGTCCTAAACATAAGTCATATTTTACAGGTCAGACCCCAAAAGTCCGCGTCCTGGTAGTACTGCCACCGTCTGCTTGTTCGTTGGACCGTGAGCCTGTTTTTCACGGATGATCGTGGAGGGCCGTCCTACTATCCATCAGCCGTTGGTGCTGGATGGACAACAGTTAGGTCGATGGGGGAAATTATGTTTAGGTAGAATAAGCAACCAGAGCCAAACACCCAGTTGAAACCCAATACATACTGATGGGCGCCAAAAACACAAAACATGAACCGAGATTCATCTGACCCCAAGCTAAGCCAGGCGATCCACGAGGAACGCAGGACACCAGACCGCTCGGTGTCTCAACTGGACGTTTTACAACTGTCATCTGTGTATACACTGGTATGGATTCTCATTGGAATGCATTAAGAGAGTTTGCGGTCTTTTTATTCAAGAATAAACCGCAAACTATGTGATTTTTTTCAAAACTTGAACAGCGACTGGGGAAGACGGGTTCCGAAAAAAAACTACAGTAAGTTGTTTAACCATGGGATTGTTTTTAAGGTGTGGCCTACACGATGAATATGCTCATGCATATTTACCATATGGAGCTGTAGGACCATTGGCCAATTGTGATGCAAATAAGAAACGAGCCGACCCCTTAGTCGTGGCCATGGTTTGGCCTGCCATCGTTTAGATGACCAATTGGCTATGTGACGCTCGAGCAATGCGGATCGATCCGCAGATCTGTGACGTAAAACTTCGAAGAATCAACTACAGGATTTATTAGACCATTTCTATATTTACTTAGGGACATAGTGTTAGCCGGCTAATGACAGTAATTTCCGTACAATACAGCATATTCTACAGCTATGTAGGGAAATATTTCCCACTTAGATGAGCTACATCCCAGATAGCAAAAACAAGCAGGGGCTTTTACTGGACTGGAACGGCAGTCCCCCACAGTTTCAAAGAGTCTAAAACGATAGCGAATCTGGGGAAAGCGTTTCCGGAAAAATGATAGCAGGCATCCCTGTCAGCACAATCTCCGGACTGGACGGGGATGGCGCCCGGGGGAATACGGGGGAATCCGGGAATGAAGAATTTTTGATTAACGAATTATACTTACCGAGCCCATTTTTCAAGATCTCCTTTTATCAATAAATTATGTATGATATTATCCACTAAAAAGCAATCAATTTGGGGTCTAAAAATGAGAAAAAGGGGGCGGTGGGGAAGAACGAGTTGAAATCCCCGCCCTGAACCCCGTTCTGATTCCCTGTCCAATCCGGGGAAAGATGGCCAGTTTGGACGGGGCTCTGGACGGGGATTTCAACCG